ACAGGATGGATTCAAAGAAAAGACCTTCATGTTACACACTCCCACCAAAACTCCTTATTTGCATCAAGTTAAATTTAAGCACATTGGGATGAAGTCAGGATATGTTAGATGCAAAAATTCATAATGGCAGAAGCAGTCCCATTAATTTCACTGGAACTAAGCAGAAGCAACTTAGTCTGGATGTGGCCCGTTTGGTGAGATCTAGAGAGCTTTCTTTTCAAATAGAAGGCATTTCCGAACGCAATTCAAAGTGTTGGTGCTGACCTTTAAAGCCCTAAATGGCCTTGGCCCTGTATACCTGAAAGAGCATCTCCACCCCATCACTTAGCCTGGACACTGAGGTCCTCCTCTGAGGGTCTTCTGCTGGTTCCCTCACTGTGAGAAGTGAGGTTACAGGGAGGCAGGCAGAGGGCCTTCTCGGTAGTGGTGCCCACCCTGTGGAACGCCCTCCCATCAGATGTCAAGGAAATAAGCAACTATCCTACTTTTAGAAGACATCTGAAGGCAGCCCTGTTTAGGGAAGTTTTTAATGTTTGTGTTTTTAATATTCAATTGGGAGCTGTCCAGAGTGGCTGGGGAAACCCAGCCAGATGGGCAGGGTATAAATAGTAAAGTATTATTATTATTATTATTATTATTATTATTATTATTATCATCATCATCATCATCATCATCATCAGGGATTTCTTCTTCACGCAGAAGAGTAGCTTCCATTTTTTGAGACATATTGTCCACAAGTCTCCCACACCTCCTCTAGTTTGGCTCTAGATGTTCTAACGACAGGAGAAAGCGATGAGGCTGCACCACAATCTTGCACACAAGACTGAACCTTCGTAGGAAGTGACCGCTTTAACAACAGTTGTCACTTTCCATGCCATGGTGACAAAACTTTGGGCTTGTTCACACATTACACTGGACACAGGTACTAGCTGTTTCTGCACATCTGCAGGTGATCATGTAAAAGATTTGCATAGTTCCAACTATTTGTGTACACTGACAGTACATTCATTGAACTTAGTATGTGAACACATCTTGAATGTTACAAATAAGACACTGCATTTCTGAATATAACAACATCTAGGAACCTTAGCGTTGGGAAGAGTAGAGAGGAACATTTGATACAGAGGCTCTAATTTTGGGTCAGGATCATTTTCCATCCCTGTGCTTACAGAAAAGCTGGCTGCTTTGGCGGGAGAACAGCTCAAACTACCAAAAAACCTGCTGTTACTAATACTTAGGATGTTCCTAAAGTTTCCCCCCCCCTAGTTCAGAGAAGTCAGAACAGCCATCCATTTGTAAGAGTAATCATTAAGTGTCCTTTTTGCAGAGTTTCCTATATAATCCTCGTTCTCAGGAACATTTTCCCCCTACCAGTTGTCTTTGTACTGAACAATATAACACCTTCTATTATGTCACACCTCCTAAAAATTGCAGCCCTGCATCTACAAGTGCCTTATTATCATCAGAGAAAAGAAAAGGCAACCTCTCTGCCATCTGAGGCCCAAACAATCTTGCATTGTTTCCCTTGCAAAGAATGGGAAGTAGGACATGCCTGGTCTTTGCAATTATCAAGGTTAGCAAGCTTACAGGTGAATGCATGCTGATCAGGCTTGGTGTCAGCAGGTGGTCTCCATGGGCAGTTTGCCAAGGATGTCAGGATAAACTGCATCACTCTGGGTGCATTTTTGACCATTACAATGATGGCCTTGTTGGTGCTCTGTGGAGGAAGGCTATCTGGTGTTCATGAATGGAGTTTTTTCCCATCAATTACCACCATCCTCTTTCTAGTAAGTCCCATGCTTTGGATCAGCTGCAGTTTGCAAGGTGGAATGGTCACTATTTTATCAGAAGGAAGCAGTGTTTTGAAGTGGTTTTTCTTTGCAAAGGACTTTGATAGGTGGTGAGCAGAATTTGGTGGATAAAAGTGTCCAGGGCCCCCTCCACAAACCAAGGATTCTCTAGCCTTGTTGTTAAGATACGAAAGCTTCGTCCACTGTTGTGTCTGCTCTCCACAAGAGGAGAACCCACACTGAAAATGCCATCAACACATAAAACAAAAGAGATCCTTATAAAAGCCACTGGAATGTGCAAACATGGCATTAGGGTTTAGCTTCATGGTTATGTCTTATTCTGACTCTAATATTTTATGCCAAAAGAAAACATATTTTCAACCAGTCTTCACATGCATATGTGAAACAATGTTATGTTTCCACACAAGTCTTTGCACAATATTTCAATGTTCTAGTTTTTAACAATTTGCACTTACTCCTTTGTGCACTGAAGCATTTTCATTATCTTATATATTTTAACCCTTGAAACAATGTAACTACGAAGCCCATGATGCAGCGTGACCACAAGAAAAGCATGCATCTATGAAAGCACTTGGGCTCTTAAATTAAAGTGATCAACTGATCATATTGAGTCATATTGTCAGAACCAACCAATGTTCAAATCAACAGATTGATATGCCACAGAATTTTGGCAGTCAATCTGAACTGCAAAATTCAAAACACCGTTGAGTTGGCCTCACACATTATTTCATGTAGGCCTATGCCAGGCAAAACGCTGGCTTTGTGAAAGACTATAATTATTTTTATGAAATAAGTAGGTTATCATCTTTCATAAACTGCTCCCAGTCTTTTAGCATTTTAAAAAAATCTGCAGCACCGCAGGAATCAGATATATAAGTGTGTGTGTAATCTCAGCACAGATATCTCTCAACCATTACATTAACATTGTTCATGTTCACAGTTTTTGCCCATGTTCTCTGCAATGGGAATTAAGGGCAGAAATAATCCAAATCTCAGAGGGAGGAATCAAACGAAAGCTAGAGGTGACATAAATGCCAAGCCTCCATGAATTGAGGTCACGTTGGTTGACACAGTGAAAACACCAACTTGAGTACAGTAATTTGTGCAAGTTTGATGAGCTCTCTTAAACCCAGTTTGTTGGGGAATAAACAGAGATAAGCAATCGGGCAAGGTTTCTTGTGATCCATTGAAAAATACATGGGATTTCTCTATGAAATAAGTTTGCTTTTTTAACCAGAGCTCCATCTTAAAACACCACCAGTCTCCTTTGTCCTGTTAATTCCCAGAAATATGCTTTTAGCAGTCACTCACTCCAATCCAGCAAAATTGTCGGGTTTTTCTACAGTTTTTGGTGTACAAATTTCACAACATGTGTGCTTGGGGAGAAAGATCATACTGGTAAACTGATAATGGATGCAAAACAAAATGCTAATGTCATGAAGCAGTGAGATCTCAGGGTAATTTTCAACTCCTGAGAAATGCCAAATGGTGTGTTTGCACTGCTGAAGCAGAGAAGAAGAACCTAAACCTGCTTCATGAGCTGATTAGATGTCCACACCAACAGTATAACCCTAGACATTTCAATGCAGAAGTAAATGCCTCAGGGTTCATCTGGGTTTACTCTAGTGTATGTGTGCATAGGATTGCAGCCTTAAGAAGCTAGGTTGACAACTAGCATTTACCATCCTTCCTGGTGGCTGCTGAAGTATAGCTCAAGTCAATATAGTTCTCAACACCTATGCTAAGCTGCTTCTACAGCAGGGTCAGGGAAGCTCTGGCCCTCCAAATGTTGGTGAATTTCAACTCCCATCACCCCAGACTATTGGCTATGTTAGCTGTGGCCAATGGGAGTTGAAACTCCCACTGAAACTCACCTGAAATCACTTTACAATAAAGTATACTCTACAATCAGACAAATGCCAAGCAAAACACAAAACAAAACAACAAAACAATCACTCTTCATACTTATAAATAATAATAATAATATTTGCAAACTGGATTTTCTCTGACTAATGCAAAACAGAAGCATAGAGGATAATGAAGTGAATTTGAAAGACAAACAAACCAAACAGAAAACTATAGAAGCCTATGTGGTTTTCTTTCGAAGCCTCCTTCCCAATTCACTCAGTTTCCTCTTAATAATGTGGGAATAAATTTTAGGCAGAGCTGTTATATCATCCCTTTCAGGCAAAAAGGGGTTTAAACTGCACTTAGAGATGCCTGCACTTTACAAAGACAAGAGAGCAATTTTAAGTAAAGATGACGCAGATCAGTTTTCATGAGCTTATTCAAACATTCAGACAAGTTCACACTTCCTCAGCTCCCCATGTGGTTGTATATATTGGAATACACAAGAAAGAGAAAATTTGTGAGAACTGAGCAATACAGACAGGGCCACTGATGGCATCGCTATGGCTGCAATTGTGGGAACAACCATCAGCTTCCCACATGGAGCCTTTCTCCACCTGAAGTCTCTATCACAAAACAACAGCATGATCCTCTCACCATGGTCCATTCAGATACTCTCCCACCAGGGGTTAACAAACTGAGTTTCACCATGTGGTGCAGAAGTGGTGGGTACTTTGGCCAAATCATCCTATGGCACATCTCAGATGTTTCCAGAAAACCCAAAGCGATCCCTCGTCTCTGCAGGGTTATGCGATCGGTAAGTGATACCAGCACTTATTCAGATGACATTTAAGCAAAGTAAAAACCCTGTGTTATCACTACTTGACAGAGCGTTTCATGTCTCCTAAAGCAGCTTGATGCAGGAAGGTAATGAGGGTTGTCAACTGTTTCACAGTAATTACAAGCCTCGTGATATAATGTTACAAAATTACAATATATCTTAAGAAGATGAGAATTTCTCTCCACCCCCCAAAAAATGTCCAAGATAAAAGAAGAGAGAGTGAATATATATATATATATATATATCCATGAATAACGTGTAATATTCAAACATGTGCATTAGACAGAAATTCCAGCATCATATTTCCGAAGTCTCCCCACACGTCATGTTCTGGTGGGCAATTCCTAACGCACTGCTTCCTTTGAACATTTTTTTAGAAAATAATCTTTGCAGAGTTTGCCAGTTCAATTAACTATATAAGGTTAAAATAATGGACCATTTCAGACACTTGCTCCCAATGCCTCAGAGCCAGATAGAAAGAGAGTCTCTAAAGTACTCACGGTCATTACACAGCGTTCCACTGAAAGAGGTCATGCTACAGTCACAGCTGAACCCATCCCATTGCTGCAAGCAGACTCCTTGGTTTGCACACGAGTCCTCTTGACATGTCGTGCTGGGGCCTAACAAGAATACACACAGAAAAATAAAACTTGGGCTTTTGTCTTTCATTGCAACTGCATTTTCCATTGGATCACATGGGGTAGTTGCCAACATCTCACATGTAAAAGAGCAAACTAAGAAAAAGAACCAATAGCAGGATTGGCCATATGCATTTATATATATATATTAAAAAAACCTTTTATGAATAGGCATATGGCCTTTGGTTTGTTAACACAGAGGGGCACGAAGAGATGAGCTCATTCAGAAATATGACCAAAGTAGAGAGATAACTCAAGCAAAATGAGTTGGTGGTGATCATAAACATTGCTTTTGCAACATTTTCATTTCATTGCGACATCTTTTGTTATCTCTGTCCAGCATGATGCGTTCTGCACGGTACAGTGGAAAACAGAATCTAAAACTAAATAATCATCATAAAATTAAAAATAACTTAGAGGGGGAAAAGTGCTGCCATCTCCAAGCAATGATTTGATGAAAAGCTATGCCTGTAGAAAACCAAGGAACGTTTGGGTTGGCTTCTTTATTTATTTAAAAATCTATATATTGTGTATCGATTTATTAGCAGGAATGTTGGCAAGTATCTTTGCACATGCTTCAAATTATCTCATGCAGGGTTTCTCATTTTATTAAATATATATACGTTATAATTATATATATGGGGGGAGGGATCCGCCAATTAACGCACCAGCATGCTCAAAAGTGACATACACGTGAGAAACAAAGCTATTCTATTTCTAGAGATCATAAACCAGACCACTAGGGGAAAAATAAAGAAAAGAATTGAAAGAAAAAGGCATGATCAAAGCACTAAAGCAATCACTATACAGATAGACACAAGACTGAAAGCCTTTGTGCAGAATATCCTGTAAGAGGAAGGTTCCCGCTTCATTATTATTTTTTGGAAGGGGAAGAGTGGAAAAATCCGATGCAACATTACACACACCAGTGCGGATGTGGCCGATGGCTCCCAATGCGTATTATGGGTTTCAGTCTTGCTTAATATACACAAGGGCTATCTACCTTGCAAATCAGCTTTCATCAATGCAACTTTGCCAGCAAAATAAAAAAAAAGCAAAATATATTAAATGTTAGTAAGCAAATATCAAAATGGCAGCAAACACAGAAAGACCGTTCAGAGACAAAAGTGCATGCTGCTCTTAAAATTGAAAAGAAAGTCCATGTAATGCAAATAAATTAATTCTAATAGACATAAATCTCCAGGCAAGCCAAAATGAGAATGCAGTAATTTGCCAGCATTTACTACAAATATAATGGTTAATTGAGCTGATGACATGTAATGAAGGAGAATTAAAAGCACTCCTTTCTATACGATAGATGTGAATGCATTAGCAAAGGGAATGCATGGTTTAATCCTGACTAGCCATTTGTCATGTTCATACACAGTCAGTTCAGTCATTAGCACATTATCTTCTTCGATCTTCCTCTTCACTAGGCCTCCTGCTGGAATTGACAGAATTAGGACTGAAATTTACATCAAGAACCACTTATTGCTCTTCAGTCACAGATGCACTTGCATTGCTCCCACAATGCACTGGGCCAAGGTCGGAAGAGAAGGTTTACATTTTTCATTCATTCCTCTTTCCAATCAGATGCTATTCCATGCTCCTGCGTGCAGGTTCCTTGGGTGACTTTTAATGAAATGGTCCATGAGAAGGCACTTACCAACTCAATCCAATATATACCCAAGTGCTCAATTTTAGGTAATGTCATCTCTGGCAGTTGGGAAGTATGCCAGGAAGTCATCCAATTAGCTAAGTGGACACATCATTTAAGTGCCTGAAACCAAGCCAGGGTGGTCGTCAGCTTGATAGGATCAGATGTAAAACTATTGGCCTTTAGCATCATCTGACCCCTGCTGGACGGGAGGTGCATCAGCACCACACCACCACCACACCACCTTTACATGGTTGCTCAATCAGTCCTTGTTGCTAGGTAGTTGTGTTTATGTGTATGTGTTTTGGGTTTTTTTGAGAGGTGGAATTGCATGCCTTGGTGAACGAAAACCAGTGTGTTAATTGGATCTACACAAAGTTCAGCAAATGCTATAGCAGTTGTGTGAGTGCACCACCATATTGTTGAAGGGTAAACCCACAATGGAAGTTAGGCAGAAATAGGCATGGCTGTGATCCAAAGTGGGCAGTATAAACAGAGGGCCAAGAGGAAAAGGTTGAGCAGCAATTCAAAAGCTCAAGGACTGGAATACAAAGCAAAAGTGACCAGTGGCATTTCCTTCAGTACCCTGGACAGTTCCCAGGAAAGACAAACTTTGCTCCAACAAATGCTGAATACTAATTAACCACCACCTTATATAGTTCCAGCCCCAGCCCCTTCCTAGATGCCACATATATTCTTAAATAGGCACACCACAATCCTGGTGTCTGACCATTGGTTGCTTCTTCAGCAGCCATACTGCCTGCAGGTGAACAGCTTAGGCATGTTGGGTCATTGAGGCTGCAGATTCTGGTCTCTCATTGGCACTTCAGTCTCTGAGAGTCTTTGTTTTAGGGTCTCATTTCTGCAGGTCTTAGATTCAGGTGCTCCTTTGGCTACTGACTCAGCTATCCCCTCTCCCTCTTAATCAGCGTCCAAGTCACTATTGGTAGTCTGTGTCATGTCACATGGATCCCAAAGCCAACTGCTCTTACTTTCCATTAACCACACCAAAACTCAATCTGTTTTGGGGGCCTTTCTGATGAGGAAGTAAAAGTGGCTGAGATCAGGGCTAGGCATGGAGAGAAGTAGTAACACATTGCTAATTTTGATCTATGTCACACTTTCCATGGGCCAATCAATCAATCAATCAATCAATCTACTACCCTTCATTTGAATATCTCAGGGCAGTTCACATGATAAAAATATTAAACTCATGTTCCCAACATCCCAGTTTGGTTGTGCGAACAGGACTGATTATCTAAGTCACTGACCAGTATTCCATTACTTTAACAACTTGGACAAGTAGAACATGTGATATTTAAGGATTTGGCCATTACGTCATTAACTGGCTATTTTAATGCCAAGATCTAATAACTTAAACTGTACAACACCTTATGCCCCCTCTCTCACCAACATTAGAAAGTGTTATCTAGACACTTTGCAAAATAAAGTGAAATTACCTTTAGGTGTTTGGATGTTGTACATTTATGCATTTATTTACACATTTTCTATTCAATGTTAATCATCAAATTAAAATTAGAAAGGGGTAAAAGAAGAACAGGCGTACGTAAAAAAGAAAATCTGGAACAGGCTAGTTTGGGTTTTCTCAGGGTTTATCTGTTTGAGCTTAGTTAATCAAGTGATACCTTAAATCTCTCATGAACTTCCACACAGGTGGGGAGGGGAACCTTTTATCTTGGTGGGTCATGAACTGGCCATGTCATTGTGATTTTATGTTTTCACAAATTACTTTGCATTACAAAGTACTCTGCACACTGCTGGTGTCAAGTGTGTAGATTTTATCTGGAATATCTTTTAAAATGCTTATCATATGCCTGACAAAATATTTCCGATACATCTACAGATTTAACAATACAATAATAATAAGAAGAAGAGTTTGGATTTGATATCCTGCCTTTTACTCCCCTTCAGGAGTCTCAAAGAGGCTAACATTCTCCTTTCCCTTCCTCCCCCACAACAAACACTCTGTGAGGTGAGTGGGGCTGAGAGACTTCAAAGAAGTGTGACTGGCCCAAGGTCACCCAGCAGCTGCATGTGGAGGAGCGGAGACACGAACCCGGTTCCCCAGATTACGAGACTACCGCTCTTAACCACTACACCACACTGGCTCTCTAAGCAGTATTATTGGTGCTGCCCAAATGCCCCAGGAACAAAAATGCATTTGCCTGGCAAACAACATTATTACAAAGCGTCAAGTGGGACTCTCAGGGGAGAACATTCTAGAAACTGGGGGCTACTACAAAGAAGGCCTGCTTTCTCACTGCCACCCTCCTTTGGAGGTATCATGCAGAGAAGGGCCTTATATGAGGATCCCAGGGTCCAGGAAGATTCATATATGGAAAAGCAGTCCTTAATTTAAAACTGAATCTACTATATCAATAAAATCCATATGACAGAGGTATGATTAATTGGGTTGCTTCTGTCTCTTCGCCTGTGTCCGAATAATATTGTTTTTCAGGGATAGCAAAATGGCTAGTTTATTGGGTTTAACTGAGGGACTGAGTCATGTCACTTTTTTTCCTCACCTCATGTTGGAAGTAAATGTGGAAACTGATCTTTGGGAAGGGCCAAACACATGTGTTCAACTGGCCCATCAACATCATGCTTTTGAACCTTGCCAGGTACATGACAGTAAACAGCGGTTGTGAGAAAAGAACTGTGTATACTACTCTGAGCTCCTTGGAGAAAAAGGTGGGGATGTAAATGCAATAAAAACATTTTTTTAAAATGTGGGGATGGTTTCTATGTTGAGAAATCTAAGATGGCCTCAAACCAGAAACCAAATTGCACATTATTGCCCAATTCCTATGTACTTCCTACGTCCTTCAAACATTAGATTAAAGCTTTAATGTGGAAAAGTTAAAGTGGAGCACTGATGTGCTGGGGATACAGACTCCACAAATCTAATTTGGGATGGTGAGGATCCTCTGCCATGGATATTCAACCCATTTTGGTCTTGGCTGATGTGGAAGGGAGGGTAAGTTAACCCAACACAGCACCTTGACTTTCCCTGGAAATTTGACCCTCTCCCTCACAAGTGACCTGGCAGCCCTCCAAACTGCTTCTTTTTTTGGGGGGGGGGCACCAGTCTTGATCCAAACCCAGTTCTGTTTTTCTTTGGGTATGAACCTTTCATCCACACAATAGGACTTCCTTCATTCGACATTCGTACTGAAGTGTAAGGTTTTGAAACTTTGGCCAGTTTTGTTATTCTGAAATGTTTTTAGAAAGCCTGTGCAGTTGATGAGCCTTCAAATCACAAATAGCCCATCAAACTCATACCATAGCCTGCTAGGTTTGGGAAAATCTCCATGTCTCTGTAGTCACCAGCAGAGAGCAAAGCCATGAGATTTATCAAGCTCCTGGTCGGCCAACATATGTGGCTGGTGGGCTGAGTTGTCGCTTTGAATGCTGCAGGTTAGGCAGTAGGAATACAGCAACAAAACAGCCCAACAGAACATAGGTACAGGAGCATAGCTTTTTTTAAAAAAAAAAACCTTGAACCTAGCCTGAGACCCTGCTAAACACTAACATCTCATGCAAACAGACAACCTTTGCTAAAAAAAAGAGAAAGAAATGTGCATCTCAATTCAATTAGCTAATTTATACACTAACTATCATCTAAGCACCGTGATGATGTAAAGTACTGCACGGGAGCTAATTATCACAACAATTAATTAAAATACGACACAAACAAAACAGAGACATGCAAATCAGCTTGTTGGTGGCGAAGAACAGACTCTGCCGATTATATTCAAGAAGATAAGTTAATGTTCTCAGGTTCAATTTGTGTCTTGTGCCATCAGCGAACGTTTCTCCCACAATGGCATCCGCCTTCATTAATAATGTAAAACAGGTCTGGCTTAGTAGCATCGGTAGCAGAGCAGAAATGGATGACAGCGGGGAAGATAGGAAACTGTCATCATCCCAGTGCAAATAAACAGAACACAGCAGGAGGAGAAGATGCTACAACGCACCTATGATGAGGCATATGCATATTTACTTTACGTTGAAGGGGCTGTGACAGGATTACAAAACGATCGCTCCGTACCTTCGCATCCGCGTTCTATCTGCCCGTTGCAAAACAGAGCATCCGAGATCAAATCTGGGAGGCGCCCGTTCAGATCCACAGAGGCCAGGCAGCCTTGAAACCCTTCTTTCGCATGGACCAGCTTGGGCAAGGATTTGTAGGTTTCTTTTGCTACCCCACCGATGTACAAGTCACCTGGGGAACCAAAGTGCATGGTTAGTCACAGCTGCCACAATTGCCCAGTTGCATTTATTTAGTTCTCGTGTTTGAACCCGCATTTCCACACACACAAGCCCCACACACAACACGTGCCCAAGGCAGAAAAGTGAAACAGGTCACTATAAGCAAAAACAAGAAATCGTTGGCAAAACACAGCGAGCAAAAGTTGGAACAAGCCACATGAGCAATAATAAAGGATCGAGAAAAAATATTCCCATGGGCTGCTAGCATTAGAGGATAGTGGACCCCAATGTAGTCTTGGATTTCCAGTTCTGCAAGATTTCGGGTTGTATCCTAGGAAGTCGTGCTCAGAGAAAACCCACTGAAATTAATAGATGTGACTGATTGAGGTCAAGTAATTTCAATGGATCTACTTGGAGCAGACCTTAGGCTGCATTTACACCATATTTATAAAGTGTTATGGTTACACTTTAAATAGTCATGGTTTCTCCTGAATAATTCTGGGAGCTGAGCGTTAAGGTCCTAAGAGTTGTTATTAGATGGGCCTATTCCCTGTCCAGAGCTATAATTCCCAGATTGGTTTACCAATCCATCTTTTTTCAAAGAGAGCTCTGGAATTGTAGCTCTGTAAGGGAAGCCTTTTAACAACTCTCAGCACCTTTAACAAACCACAGCTCCCAAAATTATTTGGGAGGGAAGCCATGACTATCCAAAGTGACATTCTAGCCCTTTAAACACACAGTGGTCTCAGCTGAATACAGACAGCTGTGTTAGTTTTGCCATCAATGTGGTTCTAGTGGAACATCACCCCCGCCTTTTTAGTAAGTCCCTGCAACTGGGCATATAAAAGGAGAACAAATTGTAGACAAGTTGGCACCATTTTTTGGCTCTATAGGTGGGGTAAAACTAACTAGACCATCTTCCTTATTCACCTTTTCTCCCTTTCCCTCTTTCTCTCGCTTTCACCTTGCTCTTTCTCTCTCTCTTCCCACCCTCCTCCTCTCCTTTTGCACTTTCCTCCTTTCTATTAAAAAATCAAACTGTGAACAAGTGACTTGCATTAAGTGGAAATATTTAATACAACAACTTCAGTTATTTGCGGTGTGGTATTAAGTATTTCCACTCGGTGCAAGTTCTTTGTTCATGATTTGATTTTTATGGGAAGGCAGAAAGAGAAAATGAAGGGTGGGTGGTTGGGTTGTAAGAGTACACAGGACAAAACGAAGGCACAAGAGGGGGAAATGCTCTTGCGCTCAGGTTCTATTGGTGGATTTCTCATGAAACTGCCTCGGCCCAGTATACCTGAAGGAGCGTCTCCACCCCCATCATTCTGCCCAGACGCTGAGGTCCAGCGCTGAGGGCCTTCTGGCGGTTCCTTCATTGAGAGAAGCAAAGCTACAGGGAACCAGGCAGAGGGCCTTCTCGGTAGTGGCGCCCGCCCTGTGGAACGCCCTCCCATCAGATGTCAAAGAGATAAACAACTACCTGACATTCAGAAGACATCTTCAGGGAAGTTTTTAATGTGTGACATTTTAATGTATTTTTAATCTTTGTTGGAAGATGCCCAGAGTGGCTGGGGAAACCCAGCCAGATGGGCAGGGTACAAATAATAAATTATTATTAATATTTTTGTTGTTGTTGTTGTTGTTGTTAGCATCTGGTTGGCCAATGTGAGAACAGGATGCTGGAGTAGATTGGCCATTAGCATCCTTCAGCAGGTTCATCTTAAGTTCTAAAAAAGGAAGGAAGAAGTGGGGAAGACACCACTACAAATTGTGAAACCTTCTGAACCTGTCATTGAATTCCACCCATCCTCCCCAAAACTGTAAAACATCAGCCTTCAGTTCCTGGTCACTTTTGATCCTTGATTCCAAGGTCAACATGAATAATTCTAAATTATTTTCCAGTGCTAACGTATATACATGAATTGCTTCGCCCTCCTCCTTGTATTTAGTCACTAGAGAACAATGTTACAATCTGATTCAGATCCGAACTCTGTTTGAGTCCCACTACATCACGGCTTGAATTATCAAGCCAAGCACACAATACTAACAGTTTGGGCAAGGAGAGAAAGACTGAATCATGCAGACTGTTGGTTTCCAGGAAGGAATACATCATATCTTGCTACGTGGCCACTCGCACCGTTTTAGCCTGTACACATGAATTCTCCTTTATCGATTTAGGGCAACCATTGATGTGGTTCTTACTATTAGCCCAATTCAGACAACTAAATACACTGTGGTAAATCACATAGCCAGGGCATGGACACATATATGTTGTGTATATATCTGCATCAGTACAAGGGAATGCGTCCCAAGTCCTATGTCAAACAGAAATAAAAAGTCAAAGTCTGTATTAGAGGTCTGATGTTGGTTTTCTTTCCACAAACAAATATGGTGTTGGGGTAGAATTGTCGCTTCTAAACACAACACACACACACACACACACACACACCGTGTTAATAATTTGCTTCCACAGAGACATGCCATTGTAAGGCACATTATAAAAAGCAATACACAAATGGCTCGTAATATTTTGGTGGATTGGTTTAACGGCTGCTTTGCTGTCCTTTTTATTCTTCACTTTTAAAGAATTAGTGCCACTGTTGTCCCATTCAGCATGTTCTATAAAAGATGCTTTATGCAGGAATGATAATTTGCAAACTGCTTACATTTGCTCATTGGTGGCTTCCTGCGTTTACAGCGAAATGCTTGTAATGGGATCAATACACAGACTCACATGTACAAAACCACACAAAAGACAAACCCCTAATATTCTCAAAGTGCCAGCACATAGACAGCACTGCATCCAAGCAGAGGCTGCTCACACTCTCCAAAGGTGGAGAATGCTTTGGCCACTCATTGATATGGTACAGGTGAATTCTCCTCTGAAGTTGGAAGAGAAAAGGCAGAATTGGGAAGCCCTTTTTTAGCACAGAGCACTGAGTCCATTCCAGTTCTCCTGGAAACACCAGAACTAGCAAAACTTTATCAACAGTTGTTGGTGTTGTTGCAAAAAGTCAAAGTTTGGCAACAACAACAACACCACCACCCAGAATTTAAATGTATAACCTTCCCCCTTTTCAAATGCAGAATCTGATATGGAGGATTTCTTAAAAACTTGCACACATTTTTTGACTATCTAATTGAAAATAGAATAAAAATCCCATATTCGAAGTTGGAAATGGTGAAATCCCAGACATATGAGTTTTTGGCAAATATTTATGTGATCAAGAGTTCAAGAATTCACATAAGAGTTCAATAATAATAAAAACAACTTGAATAAGACTTCAAGTTTAATAATGATTTTTATTTTATTTTTTAGATTTCTTTTGGCTTGCTTCAGCCAATCTGTGCAGACCATCAACTCCCCCCCGCCCAAACTGCATAGGAATGGGAAGGTAGAGAGTCCTGACAATGACACCATTTGAAGCAGACACATTTCTGGTCATTGGGCTCTTCATTTGCACCCCTTTTGCACCTCCTGATTTCAGCCCTGTGTCTATATCAAAACCTGCAGAACGATGGAACTTGAAAACAGCTATTCAGTAGGAATGTTTTACTATGTTGTTACAGTTTAGGCTTCATCAGGAAGGAATGAGGGAGTGGCCAGACCTTTGACAAAGCAGTAGAGATGGCAGGCTTTCTTTCTCCCTTCTTAAGCAACCCAAGAGCTGGTCAACAGATTGAGCTTTTATGCCTTTTAGTATTGGCTGGATTTCTGCATCCCTGAGTTAAGCCAAACATGTTAAAGATGGGAGCAGATTGACATATATGATTCACTACACATTGTCCCTTCCATCAGATGAAGAATGAAAACAATACTGGAACAAAGTTCAACGTTAGCATCCTGTCAATGACACATTTATTCTTCTGTTCTGAATCACTGGCCACAGCATTGTGTATAGATTAGACTCAAGGATCAAGCAATACTTAGAGATTTTTAAATATATATATATATATAAATGAACACTGGGGTCTTCAGATTGCTGATAAAGAAAGTGCTGCAGTTAGTCACTGTCTTCCATTGGTGCCAGCAGCACACCAAATGTGCTCCAACGAGATAAAGCAGATATTTGAGGGTGGATGGTTACGGAGATTGCTTTATCATAATAACTTTACTCATTGCATTGCTGGCTACAACCTTCGCGATGTCACACCAGGCAAACCTCATTATTCAGGGTGAAATAACATTGTTCATTCAGATATGGTGCCAGCTGTGAGAAATGCAGGGGCGGAGGGAAGCAATGTCCCTGTGTCTTCATTATTGTAAAATAAGGATGTTACCCCCAGAAAGCCCCTTTATAACTAGGAGGGGGGCATTAAGACTAAACTGGCTTAGAAGCATTCTTAGTACACACTAACCATATTCACAAGTCACTGTATGCCCCATTACTCAAATTTCAATCACGCAATGTTCCCAGTGAACTACCTTTGCAGCGTGTCTACTTTCCCTGAGTTAACATCATGAAATTGCCTGTCCAAAGTTCCGATGATGTTAATAATTTGGAAGGTGGCCATAAATTTCAGTTAAACAAGACTCCCATGCAAATGATTCCCTCAAAGAACATCAAGATTTCTCATTTTGAGATGATGCAAATAATCTTGCTTAGAGATGTACGGTAACTGAAGGAGAGTCCACTAGCTTCTGAGGCAGTTCGTTCCACTGTCCAACAGCTCTTTCTGCCAGAAAGTTCTTCCTAATGTTTATTTGGAATCTCCTTTCTTGTAATTTGAATCCATTTGTTCTTGTCCTACCCTCAGAAGCGATCCTACTCTTCCTCCAAAGAACTCACAAGCAAGGAGGTTAGGCTAAGAGACAGTGACTTGGCCAAGGTCATACTTTCTTTGCATGGAACACTCTAGCAACTTATGATGATTGCTTCCAGTTTAATGCAAACTCCCATCATTCTTCTCTGGCTTGGATTGCAATCCAAGCCAGTGAAGGACCCCTAACTTTCTTCTACTCCAGCCCTTCTCCCAATTCATATCTGACTGCTAAGGTGCCAGTTGGTC